TATAACCCTATATCTAACTCTTTTAGTTTTAAGACTTACAAACAACCGTTATGTGAACAAAACTATAATACTCTCTTTAGCAACTTTGTTGCGAGAGTATAAAAATAACTGTTTGGCAGCAGATGGAAGTCCTGCTCACACCTCTATTTCCAATAGCACAGGTTTTCAAGAAATACATATACATACATATTATCGAGTTCTGCTCTAAAATTTTTTAGGAAACCAACAACTCATCTCTTCAAGCAGAAATGTTTTCCATAATTTTTAACTTTAGTTTATTTCTAAGGCAAAAAAAAATTTAATTATTTTCAAATTTGGATTATTTTCGAGTAAGATTTTAGAAGTTTTGAATTCATTTCAAAACTTTTTCCATTAATATAATAACTCGGGAACTTTCAATTGAAGCAAAATGCGTGTGTTTCACTTGTATTTGTAAAAGGCAGTTAATTTCAGCTTTAAGATTGGAATGTTTTGAGGTAAACTTTTGGGAAAACAGAGACCAATCTTTCCTGTTATCGCCATCCATTTACAGAGTCTCACTCGTCTGGGCAATGTCTGAACTGAGCTGTCTATCGCAGGTCTTGAAGACGTCTGGTACGGAGAGGCAGGCAGTTACTATCTTTCCACTTACACTAGGAGCACTAGAATACCAAATGCATATTTGTATACAAAATTCTACTAAAAATGTTAAAAATCGGTTCATGAAAGAATATAAAACTGCCAACAAAAGCTTTTATGTTTGCAGTGTCAGTGTGTTTATGTGTATGTGTAACATACAGTTAAGGCAGAAAGTGTTATAAGAACCTGTACCATTTTTTATTTTAGTCACCATTATTTCCTTTATTTTAGCTAATTATACCGTAATTTCCTGACTCACGGTAATCGTATAACTGTGCTTACATTCAAATGTTATTCTTTTGCGAACTGGTAAAAGATAGGTGTTATTGTTGATGTTAAAACATTGGGTATGTGTGTGTGCATGGTGAGGATATCTTTTACCCAATTGGAGCAAGTGTCTCTTTGGTGTTTTCTAATTGTTAATCTTTACTGGTGTGTGTGTGTGGGTTGGCTGTGTTTTTGAAAGCAGTGTAAACCGTTGACCACAATTAGAGGATAACATGCGCCGTTATTTTTTTTTTTTCAAATTATTACTCGAGCCTTACCAATGCAGCTTTTAGTTGACCTTGCCTCCAAAGTGGTGATGAAAATGACGGAGGAAGTGGCAGGGCATGTAATGGTACCTAGAAATTATGGGCCTGCCTTCTAACAAGCAACTACCGGCCTAATTATTTACGCTTTAATGCTTTTCTAACACCTTTATTTGTACTTGAAGCTAGGAATACTACTTGTGCTTACTTTTGAAGCTTGTGCTTTTCTATTTCCCTTTATGTAACAATTATATAACAATAAAAAAATAATAAAATTTAAAATATTATCTGCCGTCCGGTCGTAAAAAAGCTTATTAGACCTCTGTATAAGAATCGCGGAATTGGACGACAGAATACAATTTTAGAATATAGAATTCTGAATGGAGCTCTCGCCGGTATTTCATTTAAAAATGGTTTCTTCTGCTATTTCCAAAAAACAGACAACTAATTAAAAAGTCATACTATTTTTTGCCCACACTATCTTACCAGTTTCCATAACTTGAAATAATTGTAAATTATTAATATTTTTTTGCATTTATTTGTATGCATATAGAGCTTGCTCAGCGTTAGTAGAGTGCTTGCTTAGCAAAAACAGAATCTATTTCGAAGTATCCATTTCGTTCTGGATTTCAATAGCGCCTTGTACCACTAACACCGAGTGAACGAAATTCAACAAAAACGTATACAGAAAACCACTGTCCATACATACATACATACATAAGATAAGTGAAAGATCTCTAAAATATATTCTCCCGCGCAAGATTCGATAACTGTTCTTCATAGATTTCTGCATTTCGCTTGAGCACATCCGTAAGGAACCCGAGTATTCGCTCGAAAGCGCTCTTGTCCAAATCTTTCACGCATTGCCAAGCACAAGTCGGTTCAACATTTGATTGTTATATTGTTTATTTAGTTTTATTATTGATGAAGGTTAAAAAGAAAGTTTACTTTTAAAATGGAAATGAAGAGTTTTCGGTTTTTGCATAAAATTAATTAATAATAACAAACGTTAAGCAATGAAAGCATAAACTAATATCAAAATGAAAAAAAAAAAACAACAAGCAAACGGAGTGGCTCTACAATTGAATGTCCTGCAGCATTTTCATATTGTCATAATAAATGCGCAAATCATCGTCTAGGTAGCGGTAACCGCTAATGCCGCTTTCCAACAAATTCGCACATTTGCCCAGCAAACGCTCGAAGCAATCGGTGTCCAGGACTACAAATACAGGGCCCACGTATTGTATAACAAAGCGGGCATATACAAAACATACAGATACAGTTACGCAAGCACAAGCGGAGGAATTTAGAGATACGAAGTTATGCGGTTTAACGAAGTTTAAGGAATAAAATTAGCAGGGGAAAATTAGGAAGAAAATTGAAAAATAAAAACAAAATGAAATTAATAAAAGCTCAAAAAGATAAAACGTAGGCGGAAAAACAAGCTAATGCAAAAGAGAAATGAAAATAAAATGGCAAACTCAATGTTTAAAAGGCAAAAGGATACTAAATACCACATCCACTACAAAAAGTTTTCAGCACATTTAAATACGTACGTACATAACTACTTTAAAGTTCAAATTTATATTTCAATGTATAACTTAATGGAAAAAGTAAAGTATTAACGGTCTATATACTGATTTGAAAAATTAAAATATAATGAAAATATGTTTATGTTTTGAAAAAATCCATTTCAATGGATGTGGTATGAATACATAAAAGAGCTAACTTCCAAAAATAACATTAAGTTCAGTTAATCTTATGGTCGTTTCCACTTACATGCAACTTTAACATCTCCATCGGCATAGACGGAAGCAGCGCGTGGTCGGTGTGTAACCAAAGCCAACTCGCCGAAATATTGACCTTTACCTAGGCGCGAAATCTCTATCTCCTTCCCGTCTTGGTCCATTTTCACCGATACATTGCCATCCTCTATGAAGTACATACCATCAGCGACGTCACCTGCAAGGCGTAAAGGATATATTTTGTAAAGATTTGAGCGCTTTCGGGTTAGAAAGTTCGTCTTCCCAACCTTGTTTGATGATCCTCTCATTACTGGAGAAGTGCTTGGAAACCAATGCATCGGCCAAATTCATGCGCTCATAGGACTAAATGAAAATATTGAAAAATTAAATGAAACAAATCTCGAATGTATAGAATGCTTCTTCGTCGTCATGTTTAATAAGCAAATGGCTGCTCACCTTCAACGCTTTCAACATTGGTACACTGTCCAATAGCGTCTCGTACATTTTTCGCTTTTTGAAAGCGGACTTCAATAGAATGCGGCGGAACGTTTGACGGTCCATGGCCCAGAGTAGGCCCTCTGTGACAGCCTGTATGGAGGCGGCTCTGAAAGCAATCGAAAATCGTTACATAAACATTCCCAATCTGGTCACCCTTTTTAATTTAGTTGCATGCCCATATGCTTGTAACAATGTGTGTGTGTGTGTGTAGAGCAAAGGTAAATCGATAAAATGACTTTTTATGTTTATTTTAAACTTTACTTCCAATTGAATGCACATCTATTTTCAACTTTAACGCCTCCTCCCAAAAACGATGTTTTACACACACACACTCAACTACATGTGAACATTTGCTTGCCAGCTAGCGCACACAAACACGCACACAAACTTCTCTCGACCAGGTTGAAATGAGGATAATTATGGCACTAAACTCCAGCATTGTTTCTCTTCAATAAGCTTTTGTGCGCCAAAAAGACGAAAAATGTGATTTCGTTCATTTAGCAATATTTCATTAAGTTAATGGGAATATTTGTATTTTCTATGAAAAAACCTGGAATTATTTATTATTTTTTTCTTTGCTAGATAAGTGACTCCGGTGCCTTTATGAGCAGCAACTTTTATTCATCATTTTAATGCTAATTGATAGTCAGGCGCATATAATTTTGAAATAAATACTTTCATACAAAACTTTAAACCATTTTATAACACAAATATTTATTTATAATTGTGCTATATTTATAATAAAAATATATATCATGAACGGTATAAATGGAATTTTCACTCACCTTGGTACGTTGTAGAGCAATGCCAATTCACCGAATATTCCAGTATTGTCGTAAGTGAAAATGTGATCACCATTACAAATTACTTTGTAAACTCCACTGATCATTTTGTTCGTGCAGCAAAGGCAGATTAAAAGAGAAAAGATGTAAAACATTAGTTCTATAATGAGTATCATTAAGTATTCTTATTAGCTTGAAGTCATTAAAAAAAAAGGTGTTTCATTTCATGGATATGCGGCATAAATTTGCATGAGGACGGTGGATGAGCGCATAGCAATGCTCGTTTAGCTCACTCACTCACCACTCCGCTTGACGTTACCATAATTGCAAAGCGATACTCACGACTCAATAACATAGAAATTGTCGCCGTCGTCACCCTGACGAATGATGAACTCCTCCGGCTGCACTCGCTTCTCGAACATGGCGTCCAATACTTGATTCATCTGCGAAAAAAACAATATGTTTGAATGTAGATATGTATGTAAATATGTGGTGCACGAATTTGCATGTCTGTCTATTTTTGTATTGAAACCTGAGGGACCTATTTCATATTTGAGAATAATGGAGAACATATATTGGAATTTATGTGTGTATTAGAAGTGTTGTGTAGATCGTATCAATTTCCGTCTCTCTACGGGAGAAACGCTGTTGAGACCAGCTTTGAAAATTCACAAATTGTATTCACATTTGAATCACAGAACCGTTAGGCTTTCTTTGCCACTAACCGGTAGTGGAAATTCATGCTCCATACGAAAACGCCCTCTATCTTCGGTTTCTTTGTGTTGCTTCTTGTTTTTAAATAAAAATCTGTTTAGCGCCCAGCAAACAGGTGTTTCAATCGTATGCGTCTGAGGCTAGGTTGCATCGAACGTAGTGCTTGCCCTCGTACTTCTGAGTGAATTACCTCATTAAGAGCCAACCGGCGTGGGGGAATAAAAGTATCTTATTTGCGATGCTCTGTCTCTGTGTGTTAATTTCAAGTGCGACAGTAAACCGCAAAAGGAATGTGTGTATGTGTTTGTGTTTGTGTTTGTGTCGCTGATGGCTCGCACTCACCTGCTCATCGTCCAACGAACGGAACAACAGTACATTCTTCACCGAATCGGTTAGACGTGCGCGCTGCTCATCTGATTTGGGATAGACCTTGCGTTCGGCCTCGTCATCGTCGGCGTCGTTTTCTGGATCATAGGCTTCGGCAAATACGGATTTGCGGCGTGTGGTAAAACGGCGAACTGGCTCTGAAAATAAACGAGAAAAGTTAGCGCCTTGGCGTGAAGAAGACTTCGGCATTTTAATCGGCTATCGGTCGTTTGAACCCCAAAATTCTTATTCTTAAATTCGGGGTGTAGACAATATTACAATCCCTCTAACGATTTGAATTTGTATGCTATGTGAGTATGAGTGTGTGCTCGCTTGTGTTAAGTGCATTACTCACACGCCACGCTGGACGCGAGACGCTGCGTTGTCGCACTTAATATGCAAAATATGCAGTGATCCGTCAAAAACTTAATTAAATTAAATGATTTGCACTTTAAGCGAACAAATGTGCGAGACTTCACGGGTAATTTGCGTCGGCATAAATCATTTTGAACGGACCTTCTTTGAAACACAAACTGGGGCAGCAAGCGCCATTTGTTATGTTAGAAGAAGGCGGTCGGCGATATAAAGTGCGACTTTTCATGCTTAAAAATCACATATAAAGGCAAATGCGAAAGTGATTTCCTTCCGACGCAGACGGAAAAGCCATTTTGCCGATGACTAGTGATTTTAGGTGGGGCGAAGAGTTCTTAGTCTGCTTGAAGAGTAAAGTTTAGAGCTTACAAAAGTTAAGTTAAAGTAAGAATTACCACAACAAAGTGGAAAGTTTCGTTGGGCGTGATAATGTTTGCAGTAAATTCTGCAGTTACTTTTCATAAATTAATTCATTGCATATAAACATAATCCTCTTTTAATATTCACGTCGAATATTCTTCTCAAAATAGCAAAAATAATAGAATTTGCTCAAACTTTCAATGTTATTGTATTATTCTTCCGTCTACTGGCGTCTGATGGACTTTCATACTCACAAAGTCACATCGTGTGAACATAGGCCAACGGCTACATATGCGTGTGTGTGAGTGTGCTTGTGAACATTTGTTAATTTCATGATGGACTGCCACGCAAAATATAATATGCGAAAACATAATAATATATTTGAGTGTATTTGCAATTTGGCGCTAGAATAGCTCACGACCCCGGTTTGGCTCACTGGCAAATATTTACAGCAAACAAGTGGGAATTCCATAAAATTTAATTAAAACGCATGCAAATACGTGTAGAATGTTCACTTATGCAAAGTGTTGAATGCACACACACATCATCATTCTTTACGCGGCTCCAATTTGGATATCTGCTATTAAACATAGCTCATATAGGAGAGTAGTTGGAGACTGGCGTCAATGAGAACTTGCTGTGCATTCAGAACAGTGTCGGATGATGCAATCCATGTTATATCTGGAAGACTCCCCATAGACATAGCAGCAGAGCATTGCTCATCAGTCCGAGACATGAGGGCTAGCATGTCACCTAGCCAATATAAGCAAGAAATGGAAAAAATCAACGAAAAATGCCTCCGAAAATGGCAGAAGAGATGGGATACCTCAACGAAAGGAAGGTGGACCCACTCCCTGATACCCAATATTAGAGAATGAGTTACGCGGGATCATGGGGAGGTGAACTCGTACCTCACGCAATTTCTATCTGGCCACGGCTGCTTCAGAGCTATTTGTACAAATATAAGCATGTGGAATCTCCTCTCCGCATGCACTGTGAAAATGATATTGCAACGGCAGATCACATACTGGTGGAATGTGTCCGCTTCCCAAAAGAAAGGCAAATAGTTTCCGATAAAGTAGGAAAGCCCTTACCCATACGCTCAAGGGGTGTAGCACATTTTATGCTAACATTCCACATAGCATGGGATATGGTATGGGATAGCATCCCACATGTGGGATAATATATGTATATTATGCAAAGGCTGCGTGAAGAGGAAATCGCGGAAAGGCCGAGAGTGCAGTCCCGAAAAACTGCATACGTATGACAAAATAAGAAGTTATATATTATATTAAAGAGATGTTATATACTTAAACAATACCTGCCCTGCGAAGGAAAGCCTATCGGTAGTTCTGCAGGGAAACACAGGTGTGTGGGCAAGAGGGTGCCTTAGCACGTATGCGCTGTATGCGAATCAGGCATAATTGTTGGTACGGGCCAACAATATCTTTCGAAGATTTAGACCCACCTTTACGCACAAGTATGAATGGGCGAGTATAGAGTAGTAAGCCGCAAAATATGCTATAAATATGTATGTGGATATGTATGTTTGTATGTATAGTATGTTTGTATATCGAGTTTTTCTTGTCTTCGATCGACAATAAGGTTCTTTGCCCGAAAAGTGTGACTTTCCGACTCTTCCATATCCTTTGTGATATTGCAGAACTTTCGGTATCAATCGACAAATTCGTATACAATATTTGCAGTTATAAAGAGACTGTCCTTGAAGTCGATAAAACATACGCTTTTTCCATTCTCTCTTTTTTCTAGATTCAAGAACACCATCTTCTGCCAGCTCTGTATTCGGAACCTCTCCATATGCAAGTAAAGCAGAAAGGCTTGCCTTGGGACAGATGAAATAAGTAAAATCAAAAAGTCAGAAAAAAGCAAATTCCGAACGTAATATTCGCCAGGTAAACTCATTTTGATCAATTTTGTTAAACTTGGACTCTGTATTGCGGATTCCGTTTATTTCATTAACTGACACTCTTCCGCTTCTTCACCCATTCACCCATTCAAGCATTGTCCGTGGCAAGAGGACTCTCCGAATCGGAATTCATTTCCCTTTCGGTGTAGCTGAATGGGGCAGTAACAGCAAATGGAAACAACAACAACAAAATTGTGTTTGCCACAAAAGCAAAGGCAAGCAGCTGCAGTAGAACAACAGCAATGACGCACGAGCCCGACATTCCCAAGTGGCATTCATAATTTTCTTTTCATTGCTGGGGCCATGCCACCCCCAATCCATGGGCGCATTAAAACGCAATTAATTTACGCATCTCAATTAAGAATGCACTTTGGCGTTTAATTGCTGCAATCATGTTGCAATTCCAATTTGAAGATGTGGAAGCGAGAGCATTGCGAACTCTCTGAAGCCCTCGTGGCATTTCCTGCATTCAGCTAGTTGTGGCAGCGCTTATTATGAGCAGCATGTTTTCTCAACGAAGAAGCTTTGCGAGAAGCGAGTTTCATTATCGGAAAACATATTAGCAAAATGCGGTAATATAAAGTATGTGAGACAAAACAACAATTTTGCAATTTCGAAGTAAAAGTAAATTTTCATGATTAAGCTCAGCTCCTTATATCCGTCACTATTAAAAATCGGATCCAAAGTAAAAAAACCAATATGTAATAGTTTAAGCTCCAATCAGCCACATATTTGTAGATGATCTTTTGTGGTTTAAAGCCTTTAGCAGCTACTGCATAATGGAATAGTGCAGAGTATAGGAGCTGACTTTCTCAGAAAGCTAAATTAATATAGAACATGATTCGATAACTCGATTTAAGCAGTTAAGTTACGAACGTATTCAAAATATTGGCAATCTTGTCGAATGACTTCATTGAAGGATTCTTTGCAATGTTGTGTGAAACTTGTTTTTAAATGGTTTTGTTGTTGCTCTCATAACAATCAGCTCTAATGTCAACGGCAAGCTTTGATTTGTACTTGTATTACCGGCAGTTAATGACAGTGTCGCCATAATAATTAGCTTGATAATTGTGCTTAATAAGTGTGTGTTGGGTGTTTTCAGCTTACCGAGAAGCGTACTGCCAGTGGAAACTTGAGACGCCATTTTCGGGCGGAACGCTGGCGATGACGACGTACTGTGGCCAACACAACCGACTCGCGAGCACCCGAGCGCGTTCAAATGAAAGAAAAGTGCGTGTGGAAGAGGTGAAGGGACAGCAGCGATGCGCCGGCGCCAGGCGTGCCACAAGCAATTACGCGTTCACAGTAGACTGCGCGCAGCAATAAGCAACGCGTCGCGCTGTCAGAAGCGTTTTCGCGCCCGTGCTGTGCGTGGCTATGGCAACGACACGCGTGGGTATGCAGCTGATGCGAGCGGAATGCAAAGAAATGCAGTAACGCCCACGCCCACGCACCGCCGTGCTGGCGTTGGTGAGTGTGTGCTTTACGAGTACGCGCTCACACACAAGCGCACACTTGAGTGGCTTAATTAAATTTCGTGCGAATGTGCGAATGCTTCACTGCTCCACGGCTGGCGGCGTGTGCGGGCGGGCTGGCCGAAGGATGCGGATGCTTGGTTGCTGATGCGCTGTTATTGTTGATGTTGTTGCTGCTTGGCGCAGTTTATTTTTGCTCAAGTAGTTATTCCGCACTTGATTGTATTAGTTAGTTGTAGTTAGTTTGTAAGTTTTTTCTTCTTGTTTTTGCTTTTAATTGGAGCTATTTTTGAGATTGCACTGCTTAGTTTTGTTGTTAGTGTTGCATACAGGCAAACACACAGACGCGCGCATGAGTCAATATATGGAGGAAATTATGTTGCTATTGCTGACTGTATTCCTTTTGAAAATTTTGTTGTTATTGGCATTATTAACGCACGAGCGCGCAAAACGCGCACACACACACACGCACACACACACACACATGTGTATGTGACTACAAGCAGCAGATAAGTGCGACGTTAAAAAGTTCAGTGCGAAGTTTCCAGCTAAAGCGGCTAAATATAGAACCCAGGACATGACTGCAGCGGGTCTGGAACTGCCCTGTCACACCTACAAATTGCGGGCATAGATGAGGGAGTGAACGGGAAAAGCCTAGAATAGCAGCCCATAGGTACACAATACAGCAAAAGACAGAATCCCGTTTCGTATCTTTGACAAGTTTCAATAAGCAACAACAAGCTGCTCTCCGGCTCCCACCCAGGCGACAAAAAGCCTTGTGAACGTGCATGGTATGAAGGATCCGGGATTAAACCTTGAAGAGGTGTTGAATTAAGTGCAAGATAAATGTAACTGCTACATATCGCAGACAATGTCGGCCATCTTGGCGTAAGTTCTACATAAATCTCTACCGTATATGATTATGTAAGAACTGTATTATAAAAGGTATTGAAAAAAGCTGCTGCCATCTTGTTTTACTTCAAGTATGAGATCGGCATCGGTTAATGTTCCTAAGACAAAAGTA